TGTTAGCTGGATATTGGCTGAAAGCAGGTAGTACCAGAGGAATGTATGTCTGTGCTTCATTGATTATGCAAAGGCATTTGACTGTGTGGATCACAACAAACTGTGGCTGACTCTGAGAAGAATAGGAATCCCAGAACACTTGATCGTGCTAATGCGAAACCTATACTTGAACTAAGAGACAGTCGTCAGAACAGAGCAAGGAAACAATGCATAGTTCAAAATTGGGAAGGGTGTACGCCAGGGATGTGTCCTCTCTCTATACCTTTTCAACCTATATGCAGAACAGATCATCTCGGAGGCCTGGCTCTATGAGGAAAAATGTGGCGTCAGGATTGGTGGAAGACCTATCAACAATCTGCATTATGCAGATGATACAACCCTTCTTGTTGAAACTGAGGAGGACCTGAAGCGCTTGCTCCTGAGGGTCAGGGACTGCAACCTTCAGTATGGATTGAGGCTCAGTGTCAAGAAGACAAAGATTCTCACCACTGGACCAATTGGCAACATCAGGATGGATGGTGAAGAGATTGAGATTGTTCACATCTTTAGTCACCTTGGCTCCGCAATCAACGCTCTTGGCACCAGCAGCCAGGAAATTACAAGACGTATTGCAATGGGAAAGTCTGCTGCTAAGGACCTCTCTAAAGTACTCAAGAGCAACGATGTGTCTCTGGAGACTAAGGTGAATCTGGTACAGGTCATGGTCTTTGCAATGACTTGTTATGCGTCAGAGAGTGGGACAATGTCCAGGGAGGATAGAAGGATAATTGATGCTTTTGAGCTTTGGTGTGGGAGAAGAATGCTGAGAGTGCCATAGACTGCTAAGAAAACAAACATATTCAACCTGGAGAGGGATAAACCAGGCTGCTCCTTGGAGGCAAGAATTCTGAGGCTTCATTTTACATACTTTGGTCATGTTGTAAGGAGGGACAGGTCCTTGGAGAGGGACATCATGCTTGAGAGTGTGAAGGGCAGGCGCAGGAGGGGAAGGCCCTATGGGAGATGGATTGATTCGGTGACTGGGGCAATCAGGATGTGTCGGAGACAATGAGATTTGCACAGGACAGAGCACACTTTAGAGCTGCTGTACATAGGGTCGCTATGAGTCGCAAGCAACTCGACGGCACATAACAACAACACAACAACAAGGGGGTCCTGGACCTGCAGCTCTGTTCCTTTCTGACCACTGCATCGTCAGATGATTGCAAAGTTTTGGGGTGTGAGGTGGGCGTGTACATTGCATATATCTTTGAATTTAGCGCAAGCTGTTCCCAATTCCCACGTTAATGGTGGACAAGCTGCCAAAGGGTTCAGGTCACCTCGGTGTTAAAAATCCCCTGGAGACCCATCAAGAAGAGTTATAGTTTCTGGGCTTTCCCTCCCTGGTGGGAACCAGGCTCCAGTAATGCTGCTGCACTTTCAGGTTGCTATGCCCTCTTTCTAGAGTCTCTGTGGTGCAGCCAGTGGTGCACCCAGGGTCACCTCCTCCCAACAGTTTTTCTGGGGACTCCTAGGAGTTTCTCCCTGCAGCCAAGGCAGAGTCTGTCTGCCCAGAGAAATGTGCCGATAAAATAGATTTAAAACCTCTTCTTCACGTGCTAGCAGATGCAGCGTGATTAACAGGTGAAACTTTCTATCATGATAGTGAATTTAATTAGTCGTAACACAAAATTTTGTTTGTTTCATGATGTAGGGTTTTGTCCCCATTTATAATTTAGCCTGGTTTATCTTTCGTGCAGCTTGGACTTCTTCCTTCAGTTATATTCATTCTTGATCACATACTACTTCCAAAAAAGGTTTCATTGTTAACCACCAATTCTTTCTGGTGCAGTAACTTTATATGTATTTCTTCCATCTTCTTTACAAAGGGATTCCTTGGTGGTGCAATTGGTTAGAGGGCCTGAAGGCTCATTGATTGGTTAGAAGTTGCAATTTTCTCGCCAAAAAAGTCTAAGAAAAATTTCAGCCTATATACTTCTGAAAAATAAGGCTTTAAAGTAAGCCCTATTTAGCCCAGCACTACTCTGATAGACATGGACTTGCCCTGATTTGGTGCCCACTCTGTGATGACATTACTGAAAGAGGCAAAAATAAAGTATTCTTGCAGCTGTGGGTTTAGCACACTTGTTACTACATTCGTTCATGTGGAAATAAGAGGCAGTAAATAATGTTGGATAAAACAAGATGCTGAAAGATGTGTAGAAAACCTCCATTATAGTAGGAACAAAGAAATACATTAGCTTGTGTATGTTTAGATTGGAAACAGGAGTGTCATCCTCTTCCTAAACAAGATGCCTCTGGAAACTCTATGAACTTTGAGAAATGACAGTGGTTGTAGAAATCCTCCAAGCCTTTCGTTCAGAGGGTCGCTATGAGTCATGCTGGACTTGAAGGATACTAGGGAGAAACAGGGGCCAGCTCACACAAGACTTTACAAGCTCTGCTGGTTTTTGAAAAACAAGTTGATTTTTGTCTTAAGGCTAGTAAGATGTTACTTAAGCGTTTGCTATAAGAATTGGACATAATTAGTTTTGTTCTTTCTAAAGCTTAGTATGACAATAGAGTAGAAAATAGATGGGAGAATTCCAAAAGTTGTTTGGAAAAGCAAGCTTACCCAGGTGTAAAAATTGTTACCACTAGACCGATAAGCAACATCATAGTAAATGGAGAAAAGATTAAGCTTGTCAACTATTTAATATTACTAGGATGTACAATCAACTAGCAGTCAAGAGTTCAGAGTTGGACATCCTCTGTTGTGAACCTCTCCAAATAATGGAGAGATAATAATGTCAATGTGAAGACTAAGGCGTGCCTGATTCAGGCCAAAGTCTTTTATCACTTGAGATGCATCTGAGAGCTAAACAATGAATAAGGATAACAAAAGAATAGTTGATGCCTTTGAGCTGTGGTGTTGGAGTATTGGATATTATTCAATATTCCATGAATTGCCATAAGAACAAACATATTTCTTGGAGAAAGTGCAGCTGGAATGCTTCTTGGAAGCAAAGATGACAAAGTTTCATCTCACAAACTTTAGGCATATTGCTGATTGGTGCCATCAAGTTGAGTGTGACTCATAAAGACCCTATGAACCTTGTCCTCTATCGTATCATCCCGGTAATCTCTGACACACTTGTACTGAGTCATACTTGCATTGACAACTCTCAAGATGAACAACCTATCAGTGGATTGGTGGATGAAAATGCAAGAGATGTTCAGGCCAGATTAATATGACAAATAAAAACAGCCCAACCAAACTAATTTCAAATATATTTCCATGGAGCCTGAAGAGACTCATAGTTGACTTGCCAGTACTTTTTCAGATTTTTAAATCACAAGGGAGAAGATTGCCCAATGTTCTCCTAAAGAATAGTTGATGAATTCAAACTATTAGAAAAGCTTGACCTTTGGATGACAACACAGCTCTATGAACTGTGTCACCAAAGCTCCCTCTGGAGAAAGTATATTTTTAACAACTGGTTATAGGATGTGGCAGAGAAGTAAAAACTTGAATAAGAAGAGACTCAAGTCTGGAGGAATATATACACAGGGGAGGATCAGACTTAGGGAAGTGGATGGCAAATCCTATATTGAATAAGGTCTCTTGTGTGTTCCATGACACAGTGGAGGACTCTCTTGCAGTCAATGGCTGCACAGATCTGAAGACCCTTTTTTAAAGAAAGCCTTCAGTGATGCTTCTGAAATGGTCAGATGCTTTCTCTTGGCATATCATGGTTATTGCAATTTGTAAAGTGTATTTATTACTGCTATTATTTAATTACAATTACTTTTACCAACTGGTCTGTGAGGAAAAAGTAGAATGTGTCTTTTGTTCACTGGTGTATTTCCCAGCATTTAGCACAGTGTTTGGAACATGGTAATCACTCAATAAATATTCATTAAATAATAAATAGAGCAGATAAGTCTAGACTAGAGCTATAGATTTGGGAGTTATCAGCATATGTAAATAGAAAATGTGCTAGAAATAATATAAATGCATTTAATTTTTAATTATGCCATCACCAATATTCATTAAAATGTGGGTTTTCACTTGATTAAGTTATTTCAATGGCCTTCTAATATTGGGCCAATTTCAGCATTATTTGAGCAGAGTGCATATGTTTTAAAGGATAATTGGGAGTCTTCGGCTGTATTTCAGAGGGCTTACATGCTGACTACATTCACTTTAGAAATTCTCTGTGATTTAGTTTTTCTCTTATATGAAATCAAATAGGATAATTTATAATTTATAAGTTGTAAACTTTGAGGAACCACCCAATATGTCAAGTTATTCTAAGAATTAATATGAAATATCCTGGATACATTTTAATACTATACATTTCTATTTCATATTTGGAATAAAAAATAATGACTATGCGCCTAATGTAACTTTAAACCATATTAACTGTAGAATGATAAGTTGTATTAAGGATACTCTCCTTTCTGGTGGAAATGCATTTCCAGGGTTACCTACCTATTAGTTCCAACTGTATGACTATTACCTTCCATATAGATAGAAATTTATAAATCTAAATATTTGATTTGAGGTAAGCACCTTGTCCAAGAAGTTAAGAGAACTTTTAAGTTTAGAAACAAATTCTTCTAAAAGATATAGGTCTTTCGAAATTCCAGTTTTTAGAAGTGTGGTATTATATAACAGATGGGCGTTTAATGAAGTAAAGCACAGTTTGTAACAGGTTCATTGTTTCATATGCTCTAGATCACTAAATTGGCAGGTAGAGATGAAAGGTGCATTAAAATGGACATCCTGAAAATTATCGAAATCTCTCAAAGGAATACTGTCTTTAATTTTGAATTATGCAGCTGATTTTAATGAATTGGAAGTCCTAATGCATAACCTTTTCCTGACGCAGGAAGGAACTGTGAGCTGTGTAAGGATTACTTTTTCCGACAACTTGGTGCAGATCCTTCAGCCAAAGACGCTTGTACACCCTGTAATTGTGATAAAGTCGGCACGAGAAACAATAGCCTTATTTGTGATAAGGTGAGTTCTTTTCTACATTAAAAAAAAAACAAAACAGAAATTCTTTTCTCTCTAGAGACTAATTGAGAGGTAATCTACCAGTGGAATTGAAGATTATATGTACAAGCAAGTACTCTGTGTACAGCTTTATGCTTAGCTGTGTGGACATGCTAAACTAAAGGACGCACCTCGTTGGTTCAAATCCACCAGAGGCTCCATGGAAGAAAGATGGTCAAGCTTCTCCCAAACAATTTACAGCATCTCAGCTACTAAAATCTTAGAAGATTGAATACACCTAGAGGCTTACTGGAAGAATGACCTTATGATCTATTTCTCAGAAAAGAGTCCCTGAACACTATAGACTACAGTGCTCCTCTGGTACATGCATAATTATCATAAATGAGAGTCAACTCAAGGGCAGTTTTGGGGAGGCCACTCTGTGTGTCTGTAGATTTTAAAGAGATGGCTGGCTTAGGCTATTTAGTTCTTTGTATGAAATGAAAGCTCATTTTGTTTTTAATTTCCTAAATGTCAAAAAATTGAGTGGCAAACCAAATGAACTAGAAAGCCAATTAAGAATATATTTTGAAATTATTAGTGAATTAATGCATTCTTCCTCACATTGCCATTAAGTCTGTTGTTAGTGAAAGTGATACTTCATTGGGTTTCCATGACCAAAATCTTAACAGAAGTTGACAGTTATCTTTCTTCCAAGTTTATACCAAGGATGTCTAATCACCTGAGAATCAGAATTTTGGTTAGTAGCACAACAAACACTGGACTGTACCATCAAGGTTTTAATGTCCATGGTTGTTGTTATTCTTGTATGCCATTGGTGGAAATCAACCCAGAGCTGCCCCAGTGTAGGGTTTTCAGAGGCAGTTAATCACACCGGAGGAGATTGCCTATCCTTCTCCGGCAAAAGTGATGTCAATTGAACAAAAACAACTTTCCCCATCCCCCTAAATTCCTAGAAGATCTTAAAACAAAGTTGATTACACAAAAATCACAATGGAATGTTTGATAGCTCTGTTTCACAATTTCTAGTCTAACTTTTCTGTAATTTACCAGTGCACTGGATTTTTATAATTTTAAGATATAATTCATTGACAGCATTACAAGTGTAAATAACTGACCTATGTGAACAAAAATTTGAACTAATTTGAGCCAATTCTGCCTTAAGTCAGAAACCACTTTGTATTTAAATTGTTACCAACTGAAGCTTCTTACCTACTCTGATAATACTAAAAAGTAAAAATTGGTGGGTAAATTTACTAGGAAGAATAAATTCAATTATTGTAGTAATCTCTAGTAATAAAATAATTGAGGATATTGTGACTGGGAGCATAACAATTCAGTGAAAGAAAATATTTAAAAGTTACAATTCAAAGATAGTTTAAGGAAAAAATAAATTTGTCATATAATGTTTGGACATGTATTAAAATATTTTTTAACTAGTAAAATTCAAACAATCACTACGCCAAAATACATATTGAAAACCTTCCAAGTAACCATATTATTTTAATAAAAGAATATGATTTCTTTCAGTGTAAAGCTGAAAATTAAGAGAATATTTAACAGTTTTTATTTTATGATATTGTTATTGTTAGGTACCTCTGAGTTGACTCCTGCTCTTAAAATCCTCCATGTACAGCTAAACTAATTTCTCTTATCATCATAATATGTGTTGTACTTAAGTCCATAATTGAAGTCACTGCCACTTTATGAAACGAAGCACTATTTTCTTAGAAAGCCATATTACTATTTCATATGTTGTGACTTTGTTGCTACATGTCATTGAGTTGGAACTGACTCATAGCTAACCTTGCAGCAGGTTTTCAGACTTGAGAAATGGTGTGGTCAGTCTAGACTAAGGTGTGTCTAATCCAGGCCATAGTCTTCACAATACTTGCTGTGCATCAGAGAGCTGGATGATGACTAAGGATGACAGAAGAAGAATCTATGTCTTTGAATTGTGGTGCTGGTGAAGAGTAGTGAACAAACCATGGACTGCCAAGAGAATAAACAAGTCTGTTCTAGGGAGGACATACTTTGGACAGGTTGCCATGAGGGACTAGTCCTAGGAGAAGTACAGCATGCTTGGAAGGATGGAGAAACAGCGTAGGAGAGGAAGATTCTGGATGAACTGAATTGGCACAGTGACTGGAACATTGGAGGCATGTGTGTCGGTGATAGTGAGTTGTCTCAGAATAGGGCCGGGTTCTGAGCTATAATGCATAGGATTGCTACGAGTCGCAAGCAACTTGAAAGCATATAACAACAACAACAAATGGCATGGGAAGAGACTGTCCCTTTTCTCTCTCAGAGCAGCTGGTGGATTTGAACTGCTTGCCTTTGGGTTAGCAGCACAACTCCTTATCATAAGTCACTAGAGCTCCTTGCAAAAATACATATATTTTCCAAGTGGTAAGAAGCTGTGCTGCAAACTCAAAGAAGGCATGAGGTTTGAATCCACCAGCTGTTCCATTGGAGAAAGAGGGACAGTCTTCTCCTCCAGCATGTTAAAGAATATTTTATTATCTCCTAGAGAGTCAGCTATGACTCTGTTCCAACTTAATGGTAAACAATGACATATATATATGTATATATATATATATACATATATATATATACATATATATATATACATATATATATATATATATACATATATATATATATAATCAATCTCAGCATAGCATAAAATAAAAACTGTCTTTGTCAAATATTCTTTTAATTTTCAGCTTTAACTGAAAGAAATCATATTATTTTACTAAAATAGTATGGTTTCTCTGAAGGTTTTAAGTATGTATTTTGGCTTATTGAATGTTTGAATTTTACTTGTTAAAGAAGTTTTTTAATACATGTTCAAATATTATATGGCAGATACATTTTTCCCTTAAACTATCTTAAAATTGTAAATTTTAAACATTTTCTTTCTCTGAATTGTTATGCTCCCAGTCACTACACTATATTCTCAATTATTTTATTGCTACAACCGTTGAATTTATTCTTCATAGTAAATTGACCAACTGACTGAAGATATCCATATTTATTCCCATTACCAACAATGGTGATCCAGAGAATGCATAACATATAAAACAATATCATTAATGCCACATTCAAGCAAAATATTACTAAAGATCATCCAAAAATGGTTAGACAGTACTTTTACAGAGAACTGCCAGAAGTGCAAGCTGAGTTGGGAAGTGGCCATGGTACCAGGGATATCATTGTTGATATGAGATGGATCCTGCATCCATCTCACAGAATATCAGAAGAATGTCTGTTTTTGTTTTCTTGAGTATACAAAGAAGTTTGTGTGGATTATAACTATAACTAAAATTGAGAAGAATGGTAATCCCAGAACACTTAATTATGCTCATACAAAACCTATTTAAAAACTGTTATATAACCACACTATGGGAACAATGCAAGATTTGAATTCAGGAAAGGTGTATGTGAAGGCTGTATGCTTTTTCCATACTTATTCAATCTGCACACTGAGCAAATAACTTGAGAAGCTGGAATCTGAAGAAGAATGTGGCATTAGTATCAAAGGAAGATTCATCAATAACCTGTGTTAAGCACATGACACAATCTTATTTGCTGAAAGTGAGGAGGACTTGAAATATTTACTGAGGAAGATCAAAGATTACAGCCTTCAAGATGGAGTGCATCTCAACATGAAAAAGACAAAAATACCACTTGACCATTAGGTAACATCATAATAGATTGAGCAAAGGTTGTGACTGTCTGACTTCATCTTATTGGATCCACAATCAGCATTCTTGGTAACAGGTGTATGATATTGGGCCAAGGTCTTTTCAGTCACTTGCTTCCATCTGACAGATGAACAACAGATACCTTGAATTGTGATGCTGGAGAAGAGCATTAAATATCCCATGTTGTGGTTGTTGTTGTTATGTGCCGTCAAGTC